GCCTTGAGTTGCATGGAAGCTTCAGCTATCACCTCACCTCTCCCCTCCAGTGTCCACTGCTAAATATATCCTAGCAGGTCAGGCACCGACCACTGGCGTCTCATCTTGTTAGTCCATCCTTCAGATGGACTGGTCAAGTGAGCCCTGCTACAGCTGCACGGGGCATCAAGCTCCCAGAGGAATTGCAATGCACAACCCCAAACCAAAACATCACACCAGAGGACATGAGAAAGAACAGGAAAGGCATGGAGGAAGACAGATTTCAGGTAGGAGGAGGGCCAATTACTGGGCCTTAATGACAAAGGAAAGATAGAAAAGAAAAAGGGTCAGGAAAGAGAGAGGGAGGGACGTGTAAAGAAGTAGTGAAGGAGATGCTCGCAGTTACTGACACGCAGGACGAACCAGGACGATGGCTGGCTGCCTTAATAAGCTGTCCACAGTCTGTATACGGCCTTGAACAGACACAGCACACCTGGTGTCGGGGACAGCTAGACAGCCTCTAATGGCCACGGAGAGGGGTGGAAGTTGATATTCAGGAGGAGGAAACAAACCATGAACTCTTTGCCTGTCACGCGGAGCACAGCTGTGCCGCCTCATTTGTCTGCAGGAATAACCAGTTTTAGTATATTTCACATATATCTTGCATTAATTTAGAGTAGATTTAAAGCTGACAAAAAAAATCTACTTAATTTCCACTGACATCTGAAGTGAGGTGGCTCTGCTATTAGCCGCTGTTAACATTTCCTCTGAATGTAAGCGCTGCACCAAGCCGTCCTCCCTCTTCTCTGGTAAGTGTTAAAGCAGATCAGACACTTGATCACAGTGTGTCGTGCCGTATCTGTCCCTGTGCTTTTCATCCATCTCTCCATCATTCCTCCCGTCTTCCGTCGGTTTAATTAACAAACGACAGGCCTGTAATGGGACAGAATGACCATGACCTCGTCCACATCACAATGCTGAGAGACTCCCTGCCAAGACAGCAAAGAACATCTTGTCCTGGTTCTGTTATTCTGTTCTTTTGTTCTCCTTCGGAGGCTGAAAGGCAAGGCTGGAGAGTACACATATGAGAACAAACAAACAAAGCAGACGTCCTATATTCTGGACAACACAAACGGGGGAAACCATGACGGTGCAGCTGCTTAATAAAATCCTCCATCAGCGACAGACGTCAGACAATTGAATTCACGGTGAATTGATTGTCATGCTGCATGTAAAAGACGCTCAGTTGTTAAATAACAACTCTGGAGCGCTAACGAGGACGTGCGACAAAGAAAGATCTCTCAGAACAGCTACTCAAGTGAGGTCCAGTCTCTGTGTGCTGCTCACAGCCACTCCCCGTCTGAAAGAGATTCACCTGCCAGCGACTGAAACGTGTGCGACCCTTTCATGAACAGGGCCAGTGCATCTGCTCTGCCACTCAGTGTGCCATTTTATTTTGGCATGAAATGTATTTTGAATCACACTTAAAAAGCTGTAGCACTGCACACTTTCTTGTAGCACATTCCCCATCACGGAGCAGCTGAATATTCTGTGAGCCAAAAATCTCCGGACCCGCCGAAGTGATCTCTGAGTCATTGTTGAGTCACACGATTCAGCCTCCTGTGGATGCAGTACACTGATCTATGATACCGAGCGAAACAATGCTTTTTATGTGCTGCGTTTGCCAACAAGCATCACATGGAAGACTGTGAATACTTGTTTTTGTTTGTTTTTTTGCACAGACTCGAGACTCAGAGCTTCCATAAACCAGCCTGATTTCAGCCAGGTTCTCTATATGCATTTCACTAAACAAGTTAAATGCAGTTTTCTCAGTATGTCTACGTACACCTATCCATCTAGCAGCAGATTAAGCCAGACCTCTTCATCGGTGAACATGAGGGACGCTAGGGCCAGAATGGAAACACGGCATGCGATTCCTTCTGCTTTCCAGGTGTGCTCCAGGGTCCCCGCTGAATCGGACATGCCTGGAACATGCCTGGAACATGTCTGGGAGGCGTCTGACTAAACTCTATATAAAGCTCTTTTTCTATACTTTACCTCAGGGGCAGCTCACACACTCTCCCTCTACGAATTGGCAAGCTATTAGCAGAAAGGCCTTTGTGTGTCCCTGTCACTCTGGGAGCTGAAAAGTTGCTGTTGGTAAGTTTTCCTACGGCAAACTGTCTCATGTGAGGGGTCACAGTGAGACTTATTTGACTCATGAGGCCAACGTGGACACAAGAAACACATCATCTGCTATGACAGAGGTAAAGTTCGAATACCTCACCAGTTGGGCGGAAGGCAACAACAGTGGTCTCGTACCCCTTTTCCACCAAAAACAACCAGGTGCCAGTTCCGTGCCGGTGCTAGTTCCAGTGCTTAGTTGGTTCAAATCTGACACCTCCAAAGAACCAGTTTGCTTTTCCATCAGCGAGGAGTCAAGTTAGAGCCACGTCATACGTCACTGCATACGTAGTCGTTTACCGAACATCGCTTGCACTACACAGAAGTCCACACAGGACTCTAGACTCAGGCAAAACACATGACTTGCTGAACATTTTCTTATCAATAGACGCTACAATTTACCGATATTCCCTGGACGCTTCACATAGCAGGCTGTGGTAGCTGCTGCTGGTGGCTACGGTGCTCAGACCGGTGTGCGACCAAAGATGACTTTAAAAAGAGTAAACTAGGGCGTTCTGATGTCAGATTTGTCCAAGATGAAACCGGGTGATTTGTTCTCATGCAGTCTTTTCTATGAGCGGAATAAACAGCATGTAGCTGCGTTCTGTTTGTCACGAGAAGACCTTATTTCTAAGTGTAAATACCGCAGTACACCGGAGTTATAACAGTACTGTTTTCCACCACTGTGGTGCTGCTGCTGGGACACAGTTGGACCGGATTTCAGCAACAGTTTGTGCAGAACTTCCATGTGTCCCTGGACTCATTCCAATCCATCTGCGATCGGACCAGAGACGTCCTGGCAAAAAACGACACAAATCACCGCTTGTGTGTCCCATTTATCGGTCTCGGTGGTCACGATAAACCCGCCCCCAGCCCCTGAACTACTCGGTGCTTAGCTCTGGACCAGCAAAGAGTTGGTGCCTGAAAAGAACCAGTTCTGAGAAGCTGGAGCCGGTGTGTTGGCGGTGATAACACAAAGATCTGGTGCCAAGTCAGGCACTGGCTCTGAACCAGCACTGGAACCAGTTTGGTGAAAAAAGGGTAATAGTGGCCTTTTTATTCAAACCACACTAAGTACCTTTGTTCTGGCAAACATGGAAAATGCTTTAGTTCTTGAGAAAATACATGAGACTGATAGAATATTTGCACACAATGGCACCGTTCTCGTGCCCCAGCATTCACATACTCACTGGATAATAAATGTATTAATCAGTAGAAAATTATATCTTATTACACAAAGATCAGCTGCTTGTTAATAGGAAAACACTCTTACGCTGTATCTCAGCCGAGTTCAAAGACATGATATGTGGAGTCCTCAGAACATCTTTCACTTTCCCTTTAGGATCACAGCTTTCCAGAACTTGTACGACTTAATTGCAAGAGTTTCAAAGTTTTAAATTATCGTCTGTGTGTGGGCAGGTATAACTGATTAGGGCTACTTCTGGTGATGTAAAAGACACCATTAAATTGTTCTCCTGTTCCTCGAAATCATCTGAAAAGCACAAATTGGCCATCGAGGCAAACATCAGGCAGGATGTCACACCGTGTGACGGAAATGTTTCTCAGGTCTGCTCGTGCTGATTCTGGAAAAAGATGTTTATAAAGAAAGAACATCAGTTTGTGCAGTTTTCCTGCTTCATAGAATACCATATCTACTATCTGTTACATAGGGGGGAATTCTGAACCAAACACGAGACACCAGGTCAGTTATATCTAGCTGGTTTACTCCTAACCATGTGCTGGCTAAAGCCTCAGACAGTGAACTGAGGACACACCATGCCTGCTTTATGAGTCTTAAGCACAGATTTACACACACTCGCACGCTGTCTGCATTTGACCTTTAAGTTCTAAATTTGCTGAGATAAAGTGCTTCAGCGAGACAGATACAGAAACACCTGCTGGGAAATGTTCTCATCTTTCTGTTTCTCTGCTGCCATTCTGCATTTCTGTCTCCAAACACGCAGCGGCATAAACACGCTTTCATCTTCTGTCTTACTTTATACTCCGTCTTATTCATCGGCAGCCGCTGCTCCATCACAGTATCATATCCGACACGATATTTTCAAAACCTGAATCTCCATGCAAGTGTGATATTAACTGAGCATTAACGACATCATGTTCTCCATCACACCGTAATCCTCTGATTCACTATACGGCCTGCATCAGATTGAAGTCAGCACTGCTGCATAATAAAACGCTGAGAAATATTGAACTGACCACAGCAGAGAATGTTTTTTTTATTATTATTATATATTATTTATGACAAAAAATGATTAGGAATAGAATATTTAAACAGCTCCGACAACGGGGACTGATATTAAAAGCCTAATTTTATGAAACTACAATATCAGCTGCATGTTTTCACACCAGCTGTAGCAACACTTGTTTAAACATGTCAAGCAAAGAGGGAGAGCAGAAGAACAGCATAGTCTGTTCTCTTCCTTACCTTTGTGAAGACATACAACCATTACACAACATAGAAATAAAGGACAAACCAGCCAGAAGCTGTGACACAACGCATCAGCGAGACCACGACAACCATTCCAACCGTTTCTCACCGAGCACTTTCCACTGACAGGGTTTTCTTTTCAATCCATTGACTTTCAGATTCTCCACACTGACCGTAAGCTGCTACGTAAACACCGGCCGTTCTCATCGAGTGAAGATGCTCTGGTGATGGGTGAGGTGACCACAGGCTGTTATTAAAGACAGCAGCATCCCAGCAAAGTCTCACAGTGCAAATCACAAGACATCCGCATACAGGGAGGAAGGATTCTGGTCGTGGTCGGTGCATGAGTGGGTGTGTGTGTGTGTGAGAGTGTGTGTGAGCAGGTTACCTGAAGTGGGCGACTTGCTTCTCTCCATGTCGATGGACTGCTGGTTGTCGGTGAGTTCAGTAAGGCCTGCAGCAGCAACCGAGAGGAAGGAGAAGCAGCAAACAGACAGTCGGTGAGATGATTGTAACCGTGTCGCTCATCCAGTAGCCAGCTTGGTGGACGTCAGCCACACAAAACCCCCAAAAGGCCAAATCTAATCAGCTGTGCAGTCATTCCCAGAACTTGTATGACTTTAAACAGATCAAGGTCTTTACTAATATCTGACATCTGCTTTTTCCCCAGTAAGTGTTTCACAGGTTTAGTCTTCTTGGAGCAGTGTGGCTGATGCCCGATGTGACCTGCACTACAACTTGTTTAAAACATGTCGTCCTTTTTGTTTTTGGATCCAATAAAATGTCAATGTGACCATGAACAGGCAACGAAGGAACGTAGTGCAAATCTCATGATGGAAGCATAAACGACTGAAACACAAAAACGGAATAAACACGAATCTTATCCAAACAGATCACATGCACCAAGCACTGAACGATGAAGTCATACTTTATCCTTAAAAACAAACAGACACATAAATAAAACTGCCACAAGTGCTGACATTTTCAATTCTTGTTCCTTTCAGTCTGACTGCAGATGTGGGGTGTTTAAGCTGCGTTCATTATGGACTTATTAACGGCCTCGCCGAGTCGTCACAGTTCAAAAAATTTGGATTAATTTAATTATTTCCCTTCAGTCAAAGGTTCCAGCAAACCCTCTTAATGCTGGCTTTCTTTCAATAATTTACACTGACTTTGCAAATGACTGCAGACTTTGAAAGGCTCTCTGATTAAACCTTAATTGTAGTATAAAATTTAAAAATTCCTTTGTAACCGTCCACCAATAGCACACGTTATGGTTCCGCTCGGCCCAGTGCATGAACGAGGCTTCATTCACCCCACTAACGATGCTTTAGTTAAAATATACATCACATAGATCATATAATATTTATAGCTGCCCTTACTTAACAGACTCAAAGGAGTGGCTCTCTTTCTGCAAAGGACATACTGCTGGACATGACTGGAATAGCCGACGTTCTCCATGTGACAGGATATCGGCGATATCCCGTCACAAGACCAGAAACATCCGCGTTTATTCAAGTCATCTCTTTGGTTTGTCCCTTTGCTTTTTAGCCCACATGTGTATGGCAATCATGTCCACCAAAACACCGACCCATCATCCTCCCATCATCCCTCCTGCCCACACACACAGCCCCCCAGCCTTAAGGAAGGCCCGACTTACTCTGATAGGATGTACGGATCCTTTTCTTTGAATCTGAATAAAAGTTAGACAGGCCACGCATGCAAAACTCTGTCAGGCAGGCCCGCATGCCCACACCAGCAGCCACAGAGTCACCAAAAGGTGGAGGAAGGAGGAGGAGGAGGAGGAGGAGGAGGAGGAGAGGGAAGGAATGAGTGGCAAATAGAATGGCAGGGTAGGAATAAAGAGTGAGAAGTATAGGTGAGGATTGAAGGCAAGGAGGCATGAGACAGGACAGAGAGGTGGGAATGAGAGAGAGCGAGAGATGGGCAGGACGGTGGTGGAATGGCAAAAGGAGAGAAATGAAAGAAATAAGGTGAGGAGGGAAGGAAGGTGGAGTAAGAAGGGATGAGTAAATAATAGTGTTAAGACATTTTAGGAGGGAGGAGAGGGATTAAGGAGAGGAGGGAGGGAGGGAAGGGGAGAGAGAAGAACACACAGGCTTAGAGTGGAAAAGAAAGTGAGAGCAAGCAGTAACTGAGTTAGTGTCAGGGGAGGACAGACAGGATATACCCGCCACTCCAGCAAACGGCACAGATGCTGATGTGATTGGTCATTTGCACAAGAATCACTGTGTTAGCAGGGAACATACCGTTACTGACAGAGCAACACGAATTAAGTCTCTTGTTGCAGCAGGTAATTGGTTTAAATTGTCATTTAATAATGACTAGGAAGTTACACCTAAAAAAATAACATACATCTAACTGCATTTGATTGGCATGTATAGTATAAATAGTATACAGACAAAGATAAGTGCGATGACAACAGCTATAAATGTTGTGGGAAAGACAAAAACGGTTTTAAAAAGACAATTTAGCAGGCGCTATACGTGTTTGGCCTTTTTCTTTCTTTTTCTTTTTTAAGTTTTGTCTCAGGTAATCAATACACAACATCAAAAACAAGCTTTTTCCTCATGAGCTGGTCAGATTTGTGGGATATCTCACTTCCATAAAGGGCTTTTCTTTAAAACTACTGGAAAGGAAACATCTGAGACAATTTATTTATTGATTTGTGTCTCTATATTTGAGGCTGCTTCATATCTTCTGAGCTGAAATCTGTATTTCAGCGGCACTAACATGCACCAAACTATCTACATTCTGGGTTTGTGAATATACTATTCAAAGCCTGATTTGGTCACATTTTATTTTGAAAAACATGCATAATCACCAGAGGGAGTTTCATGGTGCTATTGATTAGTTAAAAACTAATAAGTGCTTGAGATCAGAACAGCAGAACCTGGGCTACAGAAAAAGGCCAAAATGCTTGTTTACATTTTTCCTTCAGTCTCTAAATTGTTGTTAGAGACGCAGCACAGAAGGATGTTTGCAGTAGTTAATAAAAGCCCTTGTACAGCAGCATAGGAAGAAAAACTTTACTCTAAACCTACAGAACATTTCCAGCTACACTTGTGGGAATTACATAACAAAAAATGCTCCGTATGTTAAATTGCTTCGAGCCGTCTAAAATATTAAACCATTCGAGGTTAGTTTACGGTCAAATAAAGGTGTAACTACTTTTTTTTTTACAAGATGAATTTGGTGCGGTGAGGCTGAGTATCTTTACATCGCATTCAGTATTAAAACAGATGCTTCAGAGACCATCACCAGCCAGCAGCAGAGAAAAGGGAGGCAGGGGTCAGGAAGTACAACAAGACCTCTGTGGCTGGATCATGACTACAGATCTGTGCTCAAGCAGGACTAGAAAACGGAACGGACAGAGAAATCAAACGACAACATGCATAATAATGCCATAATGTGGAATGACACGACCTGTTAACATGCACTTCATGTCTGAGTGCAGGTCTGTGGGAGGCAGACTGAGGTGGACAGGTGTGTCTGTGTTTGTGAGTTATTGTGTGAAAGAAGAGGTGGAAAGAGAAAGAAGAAACAGAGCGACCTATACTTGGGAAGATCTAGTACATACTGTGCCATAAGCCGATGTCTAAAATTGACCCTTTCATCTCAACTATTTGATTTCCAGGTAAAAGGGCCTCTTTGCTCACTGAAAGTCTGAGTTTTTATTCGTGTATCCACAAGCAATATTGGTGACACGATAATAAAGTGGGAAGCTCGTCCTGGGCAAACAGGCTGCCTGCATTTCCCCTGCATACAGTCTTCATAGGCACTGTATGTCTGTGGATTTGGAACCCTTTAAATGGTTTTGCATGTAAAGGAAAAGACAAAAATTCCCAGTTTTGCTGAGCTTGGTTTTGATTCCTAAATAACAAACATTCAGGTGCATCAGTGTTTCGTTGCTCCACTATCCGGCCACGTTTCCTTCACTGTTTGGCCCAAAGTGGATGTTAAAATTACAAGAACAAGGTTCTAAGGTCAGACGGGTTCGGGCTGTTCCTCTGGCAGACCTGCTCCACAAAAAACATCCTCAAATTAACGCTTTCTTTTCTCTCAACGGCTGCTTTTCTCGAGTTTTAGTATTTAAAGCAGAGGAGCAAAGGAAGGTTTAATACGCCTAAAGTAAATATACCTGTTACACAGAATGACGTGGTGACTTTTCACTAATTGTGAGACTTTTTGAAAAAAGGCTGCAAAATGACAAAGCACAACCAAACCCAGAAACACGTGTTAAAGCTACGAGCTCTAATGAACTCTATCAAACTTTTGTTTTTTTTCCACTTTGCATTTTCTAAGTGCTGCACTTGTGTTTAGCACATTAGTGCTTTGTTTGCTTTTATGTTGTCTGAAGTATTGATTTAACCCCTTAAAACTCATCTCTCTATATCAGAGTTAGACAGGATTGGCTGCTTATTTCACATACGTCTACCAGCATATATATATATATATATAAAAAAAAACACCATATAATGGATCTTTGAACAATGAAAGAACGTGATTGTCACCAGAGGGGGCCTCAGGCTGCAGTGCATTAAGCTCTCAGGGCCACTTCAAAATGGTACGTTATTATATAAAATGCAGCAAAAAAAAAAAACACACTAGCTTTACAAGTAACATCTTGGAAAAAGCGACAGAAATGATCAGAAAGATGCACTTTACAGTAGAAGAGTGGAGGAGGCGGAGCTAAAGATAAGTACAGCTGCCTTATACACAGCTGATCAGCTGGTAAAGGGTAAAATAGTTCAGATGTAATCTCTAACAAGCCAGTACAGTGATCAGATAACTATAGCAGAATAAGCTTGTTCTTCATTTTTTTTCTAAATTGGAGTGTAAAGAAACGACAAGGTCTGAGTATTAGTATTATAATTACTAACATATGAGCAGTGGTACTGGGAAAATAACTAAACCATTTACAGATAAGAGTTAGGCTTAGGTAAGATCGGTCAGCTCTGCCTGATAAACAACATTTTAAAGAAGAACAGATACAGAGGAGACAGAAGTAAAAGAGAGAAGAGAGAGGGAGGAGAGAAGACTAGAAATAGACGAGACAGTAGTGAGACGCCGTCGTCTGCATGTCATGGCTGCATTAGTGGCACCTTATCATGTGGATGCACATTGAGTATTAGTCGTGTGTGTGTCCATGTGTGTGTGGCAGCGTCTCAGAGGTGTGTGCACGGCGCTACCTGAGGTGGACTGTCTGTTCCTGCGGGGGGAACGGGTAAGGCGCTGGTAGGGGTCGGCGGCTCCGTACAGATCCAGCGTCGACATGCACAACAGGATGGTTTTCTGCAAGTAGTCCACCACCGCTACGCCGTTGCAGTTCCCAAACGCCAAGCTGGACGCACACACAACCACAACAAAGGGCACGAGCACAGGTACAAAGACACACACAGACAATTACAGCGTTGGCAGAGTTATTCCAGCGGGTTATTCTCACTAGCATTAAAGGTGCAACATGCAGCACTATCAAACATCGTCAAATTAACTGTGGCATTTTGGTGTAATTACTGTCAACAAAAGCTTGCCTTTATCTCACACTGCCAGTGCTGCTGTTTCTTAATATTAATACCAGATTTCCCACAAGATCTGCTGCCACCTGTTACCCCTCGCTGCTCAGAGCCGCTGGCACAGAAACTTGACGGCATTCATTTGTCATCGCACGAAAGATGTTGAAGAATTAGACAATATTCACGACAAATAGCTCCATCAGCGGTCCTTCAATTAAGCACTCAGAAAGAAATTATAAAATAAGGAAAACAAACACATAAATGTCACTTGCTGCTGCCCAGTCCGTCACTGCTCTCCAGCATCCACCCAGATGTCTGGCGCCGTCACATGGTTCCGTTTATGCCAACAGCATCCACAGTGCTGTCTCTAATTTGCAAATTTTACCAAGCGGATAAACGGGGCGTTCTGTCATGTACTTCGTGTAAACAACAATTTCGAGGGCATGATTACACATTTAAAAATCACCCAGTAGAGAACGAGCAGCCGCGGGCTAACCATACCTGCTTCACCTTTTCAGAACAACTTCAACGTAGCTCGAGCTTTAAAAAACAAACATTATCAAGAAGCCACAAGATTCATGGGAAAACAGCGTCTCAGTAATCATGTAGGGGTCATTCAGGGAATAATAGTCATGTTCAACATTTTCTATTTCCACCCACAATTTTAAAAAATGCCCAAAAGCAACACAAGCAGGCCAACAGAAGCAGCATTAGTGTGATTACTGCTGCACACAGCTTCATTCATTCGGCAAAAAATTTGGCCAAAACAAAGTGTTCCCAGCAGGAAGCTGCAGCACAGTGATAAGTTTCTGGGAAATTAGGGTTTCTTTATGCATAAGGCATCAATGGAACGGCGCATTTTGGTAAGACTTGGGATGAACAGCAGTCAACCTGTTCTTAGGTGGAGTGCCATAAAAATGACCAGAGAGGACAGACTTGAGTGTTCATTGTGTCGTTAGTGTGGAGAAACCTGGGAGAGGAGGGACGGCTCTGTGTCGCTGTATGACTCATACGATGTCATGCTTCTTTCCACTGTTATAAGTGCGCCGCCACCAACCAAACAGACGTCAGCGACACACAAGAATCACATCCTGCTCGCTCTAATAATCGTTACCGTGAGTCAAGCGCATCATACACCACACCGAGCTGGAAAGAAACTGATTTTCTTTTCTTTTTCGAGCCTAAATAGGAGCGTGTGTTTTCCTCAGCATGTGTGCAAGAGCCGGCAGAAAAGAATAAAACTAAATAAATCAATTTCCGCAATTTAATTCAAGCTGCGAACAGCTTTAGAGAGGACGTTCGAATGGTGCCACTGCCTTGACCCACAGAGAGCTTTTTGAAAAGAGCTGTGATTTTATTAGTTTTTGCCAACAGAGCGTCTATTCACAGCAAAGTCACACAAGTGGTCTTAAATGCCTCTGAGCGGCAGGAAGTCATTCAGCGCCTCTTCAACTTTTATACATTCTAATCACTGGCGAGTTTTACAAAAAATGGGACATGACTCAAGTCCACATCAGATGCTTAAAAAATTTACAACAATACCCAATCAAGAGAAAGGGAAAGTTTGAAAAAAGGCTTGTTTCTTGTTCTGCTGCTGCCGACAACCACTTACTTTATTCAGTGTTATGAATTTGTCACAGAACATATGGTGTTTTTCTCTGGTTGGCTGGCGAGTGTGAAATTTGTCAGGAAAACTCAAATTACATGGAAACATCTAGAAGGATGTGTTTAGGGCGTGTTAACAGCAATAATATATAAATCAAACCCATTTAATCTACATCTACTTACATCCATATTTTCTTACTGATGGGAGAATAGTGTGTTTCAGTTTGAAACTATTATTATTATTATTGCTAAACGAGTAGTTCTTCTACACGCCTGGTGTTGCTAAAGCCTGCAGGGGACTTTAATCCATTGCTCTGTCGCCTGATACAGTCGTCTCTAACCTTATACACATAGCTAACCGTAGCAAAGCATTTCTAGAACACACCAGAAAACTGCTTTAATATTTTGAATCTAATGGAAACACAGACAGACGGGCAGAACTACACTAAAACATGCTGTGTGTGTTGTTTAGAGTCAGTGGAGGTTTAAGTATAACAACCCTGAATTCATCCTTCTTGCTGTCATTTGGATCCACCAACAAACAGTTTAACTTTAACTTTAAAGACTGAACTATGTGGTTCTGAGCTGGACTAAAGCCGTATAAACCAGCCATTGTTTGGCCTCTAAGGTTCAATCATGGAGTAGTATCCACTATCTACTGGACTTCCAATGAAGTCTTTTTTGTGCTGTTTTTGTTGTCCTGGGTGCAGACGACTAAGATTTGGAACTAGTCAGGACTATGAATAGGTAATGAACAATCTTTATATTCCTGATGAAGGCAGACACTCAGGTGGAGAGGTTGGTCAGAGACTTACAGGCCGTAGGCAGAGTTGATATCCAAGCTGGTGATCTGTTGTGGAGGTTCTCCATCGACCCACAGCAGCTGGATGACCAGCTCTGACTGGTAGCCGGGCGGGACCCGGACAACCCGGTCCTTCACCCTGAAACATACACAGAGGAGAGGCTGGAGCGTGATGTAGCACCAGAAAGTAGGTCCAACTAATTGTAAAACTAACCTGATTCCTCAGTTACATTTTAGGGGAAACATACTGTTTGCCAGATTAAGTTTATTTGTGATTCGTTTCAGCCAATCACATATTAGATGGGGTGGGACTCATCACCGTGGTAACCAAGTAAACGGAGACGAAGCTTCATAAGTTAACCCAGCTTTGAACATGCAGCTATCATTGTGAACGTGTCGACCAAAGCCTGACAGTCTCTGTAAGCTAACCATGTGGTGCCCAAACCTAATCAATCAGTTTGTGAAAACCTAAAGTAAACAATAAGTGAATAGAAAAACATATTGGTCCTGCCTCTGATCAGCTGATTCATGAACACTACCTGTTATCTCGGGCAGTGGATCTACGATGTGTAGGAGGTCTTACTTGAGGCAGGGGATGCTGTCCTTGATGCCCTCCGGTGTCCTGTTGCCAGGGCTGGCTGGGTGTTGGTGGTGGGGCTGGGGTGAGTGGGAGCCTTGCTCTGAGAAGCAGGGATTGTTTTCGTTCTCTGACGGGGAGATGACGTCCTCCGTCTCACACTGCAAGCGCACCTCAAGTGACTGGGGATGACACAGGAAAAAAAAAAAGGTGACTCTACAGTATCTGACATGAGAGTTCTCAGAGCATCACACAGCTTCATCAGAAACAGCTCCTCAGGATGTCAGAGGAAGAGACTTTACATGAACTGGAACACAAACCTGTGACCCCTTTACTTCTGACTCTGGCTCCACTCACCACTATCTGAGTGTTGGCATCATACTTGCTGAAGCGATACAGGATGATGTGAGCCGAGATGCCAACCACACAGAAGATGCGACTCTGAGGACACCAGCTGACCATCTGAACGGCGAACGGGTCTTCTTCCACCAGCTCGGCAGCCCGACCTTCACCCGGCTTTGGCTTCTCAAACACTTTGGAGGTCTTCAGCTTGTACAACATCTGCAGTGTGACTAGTTGGAGAGATTGTAAGTATTCAAAGCCCTTGAAAGTTTCCCCCCTTTGCTGCTTTTCTATGTATAAATTCTATATAATTTGGCTTTTTTTGACAAGAATTTTCATGTCAAAGTGAAAACAGATTTCCACAATGTAATGTCACTGAAATAGAAATAAAACATGCAATAAGTGATTCAAGTCCGTATTCAGTAGATGCACCTTTGGCCATAATTACAGCACTGAGCCTCTGTGAATAGGTCTCCATCAGCCGTGCACATCAACACGATAATTCTCAAGCTCTGTCAGGCTGCACATGGGGATTGAGCAAACAGCTCTTTTCAAGTCTAACCACAATTTCAAAACTGGATTGAGGTCTCTGACTTCCAGAACATTCACCTTATTGTCTCTAAATCATGTCTGTGGAGCTTTAGCTGTGCGCTTAAAGTCTTGCTGGAAAACAAATCTTCTCCCAAGTAGCAGTTCTGTTGGAGACGGCATCAGGTTATCCTCCAGGATTTCCCTCTACTTTGCAGCACTGGTTTCACCCTCTATCCAGGGCACATTGTTTTTCGACAGCGGCTTTGTCTTTGCAAAATCTTATAATGACTGCTGAAGAAAAGTTGCTGCATGAACCGTCTCTCCATAACTTGAAGCTTGTAACCCCTTCAGAGGAGTCACAGGTGTCTTGGTGGCCTCCCTCACTAGTCTCCTTCTTGTAACTCCTTCAGAGGAGTTGTAGGCCTCTTTCTTGCAGATTCACTTTAGTTTTTGGGAACAACCTGCTCTTGTTCCTAATGATGGATTTCATGGTGCTCTATGGGATATTCAATGACTTGAATGTTGTCTTGCACCATGTACACACACAAGCTTGGAGATGTCTTTTGTCTTCATGGAGTAGTTACAACCAATAGCACTGATTTACCAGTGACTGAAGCTTCTAGAAACAGGTGTCTTTGTCCTACTTTAAACTTTAAAGGGGATGAATACTTGAGCAACCACTAATTTTATTTTTTATATTGTTTTATTGACATGATTTTGTAGAAATCTGTTTTCAGGGAAGAAGCATTGTTCTAAATTATTGTCCAAAAGTCCAAATTAAATTGACCATGATTCGATGATGAATAGCGATAAAAGTTCTGTACATTGTAAAAAGGGAACAAATGAAATTGAGCAATATGTCAGGTCAGGAAAACTGTATTGCTGTTGTTGGCAAGTACACGTAATTTTTAAAAAACAAAACATTTACTAAAAAGGTAAAACAACGGCATCTTAATTCTCAGCTTCAGCTTCATGAAGGTATTTACATGTTGTCGTCTGCTTCCCATTCGGTGAGATATTTACACTGTGACTGGCACAGCAGCATAAAACACACCAGGTAGGAAATGTGACTGGCTGAGAGGAGAACAGTTTTTACTGTGGCTTTCTGATTTATATTCCATTTCACACTTTACACAAACTGCTGTTGTGCCTGTTACCTTTAAGGATGTGTTGATCAAAGAGTGAGAACATGCAGAGGAATAAAAAACACTAAAATATGTTATATATTGAGGTTAGGTAGATTATTATCAGTGACAGCTAGCATGTAAAGGTATAACCGCTGTGCATTTGTATGTTCAGTCTGAACTCTGAAGGCCAGCTGGTGTCACCAAGCAATCAATTGTCTCGGCGCCCGTACATTTTTTTCCATACAATGTTGATAAAACCACACGTTTACATGCTTTGTTTTAGCGTGTACACATTTGTGAATGTGACATGACAGCAGGGAATAAAGAATAATTTGTTGTCGAGTAGATATCATATCACTAATTTGTTTTGCGAGGCTTTTCTTCAAGCAAATCTGAAACTTCTCACCAAGGAATTCATGATAAAATGTTTGACTGTTCTGTGTAATGAAAGCTGAACAAAACGTCTCACTTCAGTCCATCTGTAGGAACAAAAGAAAAGTCTAGAGAGAGGACTTACTTGCAGATGCGTCCCAAAACTTAATTGATCCATCAGCATGTCTGAACAAAAAAAAAAAACAACAGTTATTTCTTTGGAGTAGAAAATTAAACACAAATGTAAATCTGGCTTAAACACCACCTTTTCCCAGTAAACTATGCAGCTGTCTTCAAAGTTATCTTAATTAGTTCATACATTTAGCAAGAATGCCTCTGCTTTAAACATCACACTGTGCATAGATCAGCAGCTGAAAGCTTCTCATAGTAGCAGAAAAGTTAAACTCCTTCTATCCTCTGGGGGAATAAAAACACTACAAGTGAAGGATTTAAGCGTTTTTGGGGTTTTTCACACTGTGCACTCCACAGAAAACATCCCCACGTTGGACTCAGAGCGCCGGACTGCCGCTGATATCTGTGAATGTTACCCAGAAGCAGCCGCCACCCAGCGTGTTAGATTCAGAACAGGTTAGCGTTTCTGTCGACCGCTGACAAAGCAGCGTGGCCACAGAGCGCTCTGAGCTGCTTATAAAGCACGTTAAATACAAATAACAGTCTGGGATCACACACATACACGTGTCCCTTTAATTGTGATAATTAAATGGTCACCGTATGTTTAGACTGACTACACAAAATACCCTCAAAATATTTCTGTGTTTCCAACTTACCCTGTAATGATGATCTCTGGGTAGGTGTGGGAGCCTAACGTCCACGTCCCTCCACTAATTGGCCATTCCTGCCACGGTTACAGACAGCCGTAATTATTTTGGACACCCAGTCTCATTATTATTTACCTTTTCTCCCACTGCTCCCTGTTCACTTTGATTCAGTGTTGCATTGTTTAATTTTACAAAACACATCCTGTTTTCTTTAAATAAAAAACTGAACTGAATAAAACGTCACATATGTTAATTACAGCCCATCATCGTTTCCATTAGGTTCACCAGTATTTATCTATTTTACTTAATTGACTTTACATTTAATTTTCAGTTTAACTTTGAGAGATTAGAAGCAAAACATTTCTTGTCAAAGCACCAAAGCACAGTCACACGATTACACAAGCCTCGTTCAGTCGTTTTTAGAGTCTCTGTGAATAGCGTAGACACAAGTTTCTCTGGTTACATAACGAAAAATGTTTTTATTGAAAACCCTCACGACATGTTTGATTACATCAGAATTAATTATCCTTGAAGACTGAGCTGGGTAGAAGAGTCAAGCACATTAGAAATGAAAAGGCTTCCCTTTAACTCGCCTGCCTTACCTTTTGGCTGTAGCCCGTCTTCTTGTGTTTAGCTCCTATAGAGTAGAGGATGGGGATAATGTCTGGTGGACAGTCTGCAAAATAGGCTGTGCAGGTAACCGGAGACTCGTGGACGTCCATGGGGTACGGGTTCTCAAAGACGGGGAAGCTGCAAAACACAAGCGTGTGATGTGGTAGAATATGTTTTACACCACGACAGCAGTACGGCAGAAAAGAAAGCTGAAGTCATTACGATAACAGAATGTCAGTAATGAAATGTTATACAATAAAACCTATTTTAAAAAAGTACATTGGAATTGCATATTTAATGTACTTTGACTTTAAGAGGTCTAAGAATTATTGAAAGGTATGACAATATGCAAAATCCCCTCGTTATCCATCCTCAGCATTACGGCCATGATGAGATGAAGTAAAAAGGGCACATGTATGAAGACATGTCTGGGACATGTACAGGTGTGCTACTACAAAACTGTGTGAACTACACGAGAAAGATTCATGGCACAGATAACTTGCATCTCCACTCTGCAGGTGCCTGCCTTACTTTTAATGAACAATTTAAACATAATTAGTGGCTAATCAATGAGTTGACAACGTCAGAGACAATCCGGACATGTTAAACCTACTTTGGCTGTTATCAGGAGACATTTATGTCTAACAGCTGTAATTAGGTAACCCAATTTGCTGGGCGACCTAATTTATACCTAAGTGTTTTGCTGCTACTCGGATGTATTCCCTAGCCTGAGGTGATAATCTCTCAAAATGGCACCACATCAGCAGCTTCCATCTTCACACTTTCCAACAGCGACACGAGTTAACTGAACTGGTGAAGTCTTCACCTCAAGGGCAAAGGAACACGTCTTTGTCTAAAGGATGGTATCTTATCTTCGCCTCACTGGCACTGAAAGTTTCAAACAGTTTCACCTTTAGAGCCTTTTACGAAGCTGCTGAGCAACTTTTAGGTTGACGGACAGGTAGATGATGGAGTTGACTGACTGTGAGCAGACACACTTTGATTCCTTTTGTGGATGAACACGTGGGCACCGTGAACACATAGTCGGTATAAATATTCTACTTTATGTCCTCTTGTAGTCGTAGAACTCAATTCTAGGAGGTCAGCATTGATGCATTATGTGCATACCCACTGCCAAGCATTCGTACTATCGCCCTTGCAAAGCAGCAGCGGACAAACAATTTTCAAAATTGTTGTCAGTGGGGGGACCTGAGTGGACTCTTGGAACATACTGACGCTGTTATCAGTCACATGAAGCTACTCGTGGAAGTTGAGTTTATAAATGTGAAACACGTACTTGCTCTGCGTCAGATCCACCACGATTAGGTCCTTTTCCAAAAGCACCACCACTGCATAGGGCTCCTGTACCTCTGTAAGACAGAAATAACATCATACATAATATTTACATGGCTACACATTGTAGGATGACATTTATTTTTCTCTACAGCGCACCGTATCAACAAAACATATGAGAGGATCAAATGTAAACTGAATTGTGTAAAGCCCAGATTGTTTATTGCCTTCATCTAATTCCAATAAGTGTTGTCATGAGACAGTCTTGCATTCAGGATTTGCATGTATTCAAACGATTACAAGGGACGTCTGCTGCTCGGTGCTGAGTAGGTAGTGTGCAGCGGCTTTGTAGAGCTTCTCTTCTGGAAACAGAGAAGCGCCTGTGGCTGAAAATCAAATCTCTCTGCATGGCTTTAAAACCACAGAAACCACTGAGCTGAGTCCAGGAAAAAAAATGAAAGGCAAGTTTTGCATGAGACTCTGCGTGCACTCACCGTTGTTGTAAGGTGTCTCGCAGAGCACCATGAACTCCACAATGGGGTAGTCCATCTCCAGAACAGTGATGGCCTTGCCGTGCATGATGGTTAATGTTGGCCGTCGTCCCGCCTTGTCGTATGAAAGACCCCCGGAGAAGATAACAAAAGGCTCGCTGGTGTGGAGGGAGACAGGCTGGATCAGCACTAGTGCTTGACTACAAAATAAATAGAAAGCCTGGACGGATGTATTAATTAATGAGTTAATTAGCGAGTGAAACTATAAGACATGCTTGTGGTTTCTGATCTGTGTGGAACTGATGAATGGAGCTTTAAGGCCAAGTGAATTAAATAATCCTTCTTTGACTCTCACAGGTTATAAGTTAGTACAAAACATGTATAATGCGTGTATATGTGTGATCAGGAAGACTAAATGAAAGCACACACCTGCTTCTGGAGGTCTTGTACTCCACTTTGAGGATGGGTTTACACGATTCCTTCCTCCCGTCCTTCTGGATCTTTCCTGAATTCAAGACAAAGACAATTACAGACAAGTTTTTCCTTTTGTGTCAATTGCACTGAAACTATTGCACACATTTTAGCACATAAACAACCGACTATTTAACGACAGTTTTATTTATTAATTGAATTGTGTGGACTCGTAATTTGTACCCACAAGGGAAGTAAATGGGAGAGGAAAGTGTCGCCGGCTGACTAATACCTCCTACATGATTAGGATACAACTATCGTCGTGTTGTGTTCATGTTTTTCTATTTTTCGATGTTGGTTTTATTTGGCATAACTACCTCTGTAGCTGCTTTATTCAGCTGACCAGCCACACTCACAACCACTTCCTCCGTCCATCCTTCACACGATCACAATGCGGCCTTCGTCATACGTCTGATTCTAAAGCGGATCATGACATAGTTCAAGCACAACTCTGCCTAATGAAAAGTGTTTTTGTTCCCATTTTCCACTTCACTTTTTTTGATTACTGTGTTTCTGGTTCTTCTTTTTAGAGAACAGCAGACCATTATCAGAGAAAAAGCATTAACGAGGGTTATTTTTCTCCTGCTTCTCATAATGAAATGATGCTGCCTTTGACACACAGAGAGAATCTATCAGCTGGAAGGCGGAGGGACCTTGGGTTTGCTTCATGGTCATTATGCTCTGAATAAAAGCCCGGCTCTTTCTGAACAGATGAAAAGAATCTCTAAACTGTGAGATTTTCATTGCTTTCATCAAACAGAACGCTGCGATTTCGAATTCTTTCAAATACACCTCGATCCTCTGAAGCGCTCTCGCCTCACAGCAAAAAGGTTCTGTTTGGAACCCGGTGCTCAGCCGGGCCCTTTCTGTGCAGAGTTTGAATGTTCTGGCTGTGGCTGCGTGGGTTTATCCAGGTGGTCCGCTTTCCTCCCACAGTCCTAAGACGTGCATCTGAATCGGCCACGGCTGCGAGCGTGAGTGGTTTTCTGCCTCTTTGTGTTCATCCTGAAATGAGCAGGCAGAGTGTCCAGGATCTGCCTCTCCCACGGTGTCACCTGAAGCCCCCGTGACCCTCTAGCCAATAAAGCGTGTACAGCTAATGGACAGGTGGATGGATAGATCGCTTACTGTGGAAAATCGGATTGAAAGAAAAAGCTGAATACATCCGGTGGATGCTATTTTTTGATCTATGAAGTGGAAAAACCGTCAGTCTCCTACAAAATACATTCATATTCTGCTTTAATTTACTCTAGTAAACACACTTTGGAAGAAAACATAATTGGTACATGGATTATCTTCTTTTTTTCTTCTAGTACACGTACAAAATGTCATTAACTGCATACAGGTGATAAGGCGGCGGTTAGAGGGAATGTTGGGCATTAAAAGCCACAGTTTACGTTGACAGCCAGGCTACTCACACTGCTGCTTCATGCTGTGGGTATATTGTGTGTAAAGTCTCTAGTTCTTTGTGTCAGTGACTCTTCATGGTGGTTTTAGCCTCCAACACACTGTACTAACAAACAAACAGTAGCACAAAGACAGTTCTGCAACCGAGATGCTTCGTCCTGTGACAACACATCACAGGAGATGTGATGAATACAGTATTTTTCAACATGTTTCATGTTTAATTTTGAAATAAAGATTATTTTCTATACTTTCTGTACTAATATCAAAGCTCAAAGAGTCGCTGGTTAAGCTACTTTTCTTCAACATGCTGAACAAACATTTCTGCATGCTGATTCATTAAATCAATCAGAAATCATACTGCAGTTGTTACAATGAAAACCAGCTTAGAAATGTTTCTAAAAGCATAAAAAAGTTTTGTGTGGATAGATGTCTGTCCTGGCTAAAGGCTGCGCTGTGGCACCGTGTTGTTAGCAGGATATGCATCAGTAATACAGTTACTCTGTGCTGTGGAGCGCTCCTCCTGCAGGTCAGGCCACCAGTCCTGCTACTTCCTGGTCACAGTGGGAGATCTGAGCTCAACACACATGTATTTAAACTGTGGACAATTCTATTCTGCAGTATGTTTTTTTTTACACACCAGCTGCCAGAACATTCCTGCTGCTTCACAGTTTGTTTATTTACTGTGCATTTCATTTATTTACTGCTCTACTGCCAGGAGATGACCGTGTTAACTGCTTCATCTTCTCCGGTTTCACGTTCTCAGTTCATCTCCACTCGTTTTCTGCTCCCCACGTCCTCGTCCTCACACTTACTGCTAAGCTCACCCTGTGTAATGCTAAATATCTGACAAACATCTGGCACACAAACATCCTGCTCGAATGTAACCGTGGCTTCAGGCCGTTTGCTCTCTCCCCCCATCACCCACGTCCTTCCCTCCCGCCTTCCTGTTTGGTGATTTTTGCCTGAGATCACAGCTCACAGCGGGGAAGAAGAAATCTGACAAGGTCAGGATGCCCTGCCAGTACTCAAATCACACCACTGGAGAGAGGATACCTCAGGGGGGCAAGTCAGAGGAAGAGGAAGAAGAATTACATATGCTGCAGAAATCATCCTCATTTGACAGTCAAATAAACTGGCAACGACACACCTTACACATCACCACCGCGTTCAGGTTCGTTTGTCATGCGATATAAATATGCAGCGGTTGAATATGCAGCGGTTGAATCAGGGTTCATGGTTACATCTCAATAAGAAACCACAACCAGTCGCAATAAAACTCTGATAACCACGAGTGGAAACCAAAGTGATGCTGATGCTCATGACTCATGGCACGATGCATCCCAGAATGAAACCTAATTATATGACTACACACGATTTAACCGATTCTTTTTGTCTTTTATATTTTTTAAAAATGATCATTTGAAAGCCTGACAAACTGCAGCTCCTCTCAGTGCCGCGTGATGTTTGCTTTTTTACTGCTGCAGATCTTTTTTGTTTTTATTCTCACATAACGTTTGCAGTTCTAACACTTTGATCTGAAGAAGCAGGAGGTTTTTTTTCTGTCCCTGCAACTGTTTGGAACTTTTGAACCCACCAGTAGTTAATTAATTCAATAATAAATCCATCACGTCAGAGGTTTATCCACGTTTAGGGTGTTTCTGTCTGCTGTATTAGGTAATCGCTCTGTGACCCAGTACTCCTGGCTTCAGACTCAGAGGCCGCCGTGTGTCTCACCATGAGGGAAGGTGACCTGGAATGGCTTGGTGGTGTTTCTGAGGTTCCATAGCGTCAGGCTGCCGTCGGAGTGGCTGCACATGAACTGCTTCCCTTCGTGATGCCAGCTGACTGAATGGATGGCCTGTACCAAGGAAGCAGAAGGAGGGGATATCTCACAAACAAGTCATAAAGTACACACACACGAGGCTGCGAAAAGTTTTGTTAGACGTTTTGATTCTCATCCACCACGCAACACCATCAGGAAGGTGACTGATCTGTTTCTCCACATTCCTTCTCGTCATAAAAAAAAAAAACTATCTTCAGCAACAAGAACAAAGAATCGTGCAACAGATGGTCTGGCCCGCACAGAGCCTTAATCTCAACAAGCAACTGAGACAGCCTAAATCCACAGCAGAACTGTGGCAAGTTCAAGATGCTTGTTAACAACCTGCCTGCCAAGAACACAGAAAACTGTACGCAAGTGTTCCTGGGAGAATTGATGCTGTTTCAAAGGCAGAGCACGCTCACATCTTCTATTGATTCGACTTCGGTTGTTTTCTTTTTGCAGCGCTCGGAAACCAGTTAAACATCTGAATAAATAAAACATATTCTTGGTGGTGTTTATGGAAGCATCCTTATCTAAAACCACTGGGTCACCACATCCTGTTTTCACCAGAGACTCTGCTGCTATTTATACCATCTAATCAGTGAAAAGCCCCGTGATTGGCTGTGATCGGCTTTCTAACGCCTGACAATTGAGCCGAGAGAAGGTGCAGAAGTTTCCTCTCAGACCAACTGAATTAGAAGATGCTGAAAGGTTACTGTAGAATTTTTGACTAAAGATGCAAAAAAGAAAATGCTGTCTCGCTAAGAGTGGCTTGAAATGAATCATGATGCAGAAAAAAAGGTAAAAAGGATTGATGATCCTTCACTAAATAGCTCAGATAGATCAAGGCTGAAACAATATCGTGGCTTTTGACTCATGGATTTGATCATTTTGGACTGTCAACTGCTTTAAAACATGCTCCGTTTATGGTTAAAGGTTTACAAGGGAGGTAGGTAGCTCGGTCGGTAGGTTGGAGGACTGTACAAAAACTTTGAGGCATGGATCATTTTTTTAAATTCCAAGGCAGGCCTTTGGCTTCGAGGTAGGACTTGACTCTCTGAGCAGCCTGTAGTTACTTTTAAAGGCAGTAAAACAGTACTGTGGTTAACCTTTGCAAGTAATCTGCCTTCATGCCGAACCATGAGTGGGAATTCGTTTGCATCACAGCTAAGCGAGGTTTTGTTGAAACGCTAATTAGCAAACAACAAACTGAGTGCTTTTTCAAAACATGGTTGGTAACTGAACCTTTAGTCCAAACACGGAGAGAATAAATCCACCATGACCACACTGTCTGAGCAACCTGTTGAGCTGAAGATCAAGTTTCTGTCTACAAATAAATACAAACGTCCATTTGGCGGCTCCACGTGGTTTCTACCTAGAAAGGGACGAACCATCAGGACCAGTGAGCCAGATCACTGCCGGTAACAGACAATGACAACACATCTAAAGGGCTTTGACAGGATGCTTTATGTCCACATATTTAAATCTCTGACACTGGGATGGTTTTCCAGCTTTAAAAACTCTCTTTATCTGTCCAGTGATGTGCCAGTGGAGACGTCTGAACTGTGCCGGTGAAAACTACAAAGCAGTGATAAAGCGTCCCTCCTCTTTGTTCCTCTGCATTCTCTGTATATCTGTTGTTGTTTTTTAAACCCTCATTGTGTATTCTTCAGGAAAAGCTCCTTCCAAAGATTATTCACATCTATTCATGTCAACGTTACAGAGGTCATCGTCTCAGGGGACGACATGAGGGCAGCATGCGATCTGAATTCTAATGTCAGAATGGATAACAGAAGACCGTCCGGCCTGAACGCTCTTCTAACTTAACCTCTTCTCATTTGCACATCCAGCGTGAAACAGCTTGCAGTATATTTTTTGACAAATTGGAAGCAGCCTCAGCTTTTTTCAGAGAAAGCAGAAAGGATTTGATGTTTCCCACACGTTCTTCACGCAAGGTTAAAAGGTCAGCGGAGACTTCTGTTGAAGCTCGCTTCTAATTATCCTTAACGTGGTCATTATTTGTATTAATTAAAGCACACCTAACGCTTACATGAGGCTAAAACAAGTCAAGGGAAGCTAGAAGCCTTATTAACAAAGCCCCTTACAGTGAGTTTCCCTCACAGAAGTGTGAATGTGATGCAGTGCTTTTTAAAGAAAACAAAAGGTGCACAACAGTGTCATTCATGATTTAATGACGAGAGCACAAAAGCTTTCCATTTAAACTGGCTGTAATCCAGCACTTCCACACTTGGGCTACTGAGACATATAAGTGGTTTTGTTGTTTTTTAGCTCTGCTGAAGGGGTGTGAGAAAACCACGTATGTGAAAGTGAGCAGAATGTGGCTCTTCACGGGAGATCGAACAGGAGATGAGAGCTGGCAGCAGACCAGCCGCACAAGTTGAGCGTGTTTAAGGGACATATGACCACATTGGTTATTTTAAACATATATGTTTTTGAGAGTTTGAGCACGTATATCTCCGTCTTTGTGGACGAGTAATTATCTAAATAGGTTCTGTGTAGTTAATCAGCTACAAACGGTGCATCATCCTGACTGAAAACATCTATTTTTATGGTACCGCGCGGATGTCAATAGACTAATTAACAGCAATCTAACGCGCAAACTGAAACACTTGGACACCGAGAACAGTCTCTGATTTCATGCATCGCTGCTCTCTGGGTGAAATGGCAACAGATGCTGCAGTCTTCACCTGTTCCAGCTGACAGTGCCGTGCAGGCTGGACCGGTGTGAGCGTCCCCGGCTCCACCAATTACCGCTTCTTCAAAGAGCAGTAATTGGTTGGCAGGCAGGGGGATACAGCATGTGATGACAAAGCAACCTCGCTGAAAATATGAAAAGTTGAAGCTGCGCAAAGATGAAAATTGTACTCCACTTTGTTGAGTTTCACATTATCGGCATACAAAAAGGCAAAATTGTGTTACTTAGCAGGATCAGTGATGGAAGGAAATGTAAGAACAGCAGATGGGATGTTCTTAAGGTGACATTCCTCTCAGAGCATTTTCCATCTCCTGGAGACTTGAAATCAATTCTGCTGCATGCAGGAACCAGAGTAGGCTCCAGAGTAGGCAGCCTTTATACAGAACATCTTTTAATCATCGTTATTATTACAGGCGCCCAAGCTACAGCAAAATCTGTTTCTTCTTAAAAAAAGGCAGAAACGACTTTGGTGTCATGAGCAGTTCTCTCACAGATGCACCCCCCACCGTCACATATTTCTGTCTCATTTTTGTGGTAATTTGTTCTCCATTACTGTCCATTTTGCTGCATTCTTGTATCTACGCTGCGTCCTGCTGCTATAACAAGGCGTTCCCACTGAGATCGCTCGAACGAAGCTGAAATTTTATGAAAATACGGCATAAAAAAAAACAACACAGAGAGCTACTGAAAACGCCTCCTTTAACGCCAACGTGATGACACTGAGAGAAGAGACCTTTATAGAAATAAAACGACGGAGGAGAGGAGCTCACCTCATCGTAGTAGATTCTAAAGTCGGCCTTCTTGGCCCGGAGGTCCCACTGGACGATGGTCCCGCTCTCAAACCCTACAAGCAGCTGTGGAGGGGAGACAAGGGATGGAAAACAAAGAACAGATGTAGTTAATCGTTCTGGAGTCATTTACAAACCTGCATTGTTTGCTAAAATGTCGGGAAGACGTTTGGACGTCTGCAGGCCTTCAGCTTACAGACAAACTTGTTTCTGAAGTGATTTTTAGTGTTAATATGGATCGTACGCTACGACAGGTGATGATCTACCAAATTAGATTCCACCAGCTGGCTGGGTTTGCTTTCTGTCTGTCATTTAGCAGAGTACAGACTCAGACCTGGGGGATAATAAAGGATACCAGCTCATACAACTACTTCCTACTGTATTGATTTCAGAAGGACCTAATAAAGTGGAGAAATGATTACTGACTCTATTTGTCTCTCTGATTAGTAATCAAAACGCCACCTCTGAGGTTTCAAACAGTAAGTCACTGGTTGTAGATATTAGGCTCTAAGAACAACAGCATCTCTTGAGGGGAAGCTATGGTGCTACAATCCAAAAAAACAACTACATTTCTTTCATTTACACTTGTATTTTCTGCTGGATGATGTTTATTTTGTATGTTCTGTAGTTGGTAATGGTCGGGCTACACCTCACCATCATCCTGCTGTAGGGAAAAACAAGCTAGCTTGATGTCACCTGATCACAGTCGTCTTGTGCAGAGCTAAGCGAAGGATGCAGCGACGGTGTTCATTCAGAATAATGAAGGGTAGAATTGTTTTGGTCATTAAAACGGACAATCCACCAAACAAAAAGCAGAGCTGCCTTACTGGACGATCCACATTCTCGACTAAACTTGAAGTTTTCTGTGTTGTTATTTGCTGCGCGGAGGTTGTTGTTGTTGTTGTTGTGTCCTGTTGTGAAGTGGCTTTTAAAAACGTTAACAAGAAACCAGCAGAAGAAGAAGAGGAGAAAACCAGCTGACAGGCTCATATCTGCAGCCTACATGTGGTGAGTCAGACCGTTTGTGATGAACAGTTACGTTTCTAATCCACGTGTCTTTGGCATTCATGTTCTAAGGTTCCTATTCAGCCAAGTGATCCTGTACAAGCACTCATAACCCTGGTGGCCTGGAGAGCGAAGGAGACGCTTCTAACATCCTGTAAACGTGTTTCAACCCAAACCATTATATTTCCTAGGAGTCTTGGTCCTTCCTCCTTCCTTTCTATTTCCTTCTTTCCGTCCTTCCTCCCCCCCTCCTTCCCTCCTCCCCTCTTCCTTCCTCTTTCCGACCTTCTTCCTTCCCCCCTTGCTCCCTCCTTTTTTCTTCCTTCCTCCTCCCTCCCTCCTTCCTTCCTTCTTTTCTTTCTCCTCCCTCCCTCCCTCCCCTCTTACTCCATCCCTCCTTCCTTTCCCTCTTACTCCATCCCTCCTTCCTTCCTTCCCTCCTTCCTCCCTCCCTCCATCTTTTCTTCCCCCTTCATCCCTCCCTCCTCCTTTCCTCCCTTCTTTCCTTCCTTCCTTCCTTCCTTCCTTCCTTCCTCCCTCTTACTCCATCCCTCCTTCCTTCCTTCTACCTTCTTCCTTCCTTCCCTCCTTCCTCCCTCCCTCCATCTTTTTTTCCCCCTTCATCCCTCCCTCCTCCTTTCCTCCCTTCTTTCCTTCCTTCCTTCCTTCCATTCCTTCCTGTATACTGGATGCTTGCAGCTCTGCAACATGGGATTTATTCTGTCTAACAGCCTAAAGCGTGACCGCCTCACATATTTTTTTTATCTACATAAATACACAAATATTAACACAGTCGCACGCACATAGTCGCAGGTTAAGAGCAAAGTCGACCCAAGCCGATCGCAGATAAGAGACCAGAGATAAGGAGTGTTGTTAAAGAAGCACTTCTGCTGCGAACACAGAGCGGAGGAAGCAGCTGAGAGGAAGGACGACGTGACATCTCACATCTGAAGACGGGAAGTGGAGGGCAGGTGAGGTGGAAAAGAAAAACTGCTTCTCATAAACTCTGCAACCCCGAAGCTTAACGTTAGCAACACCACGAGTCAAGATGGATAAAGACGTAGTGTTAGAAGTGTGGGTTTTTTTTGGGGTAGAATTGTTTTCACATCTAATTTAAATGATGAATAACGGCTATCCACTGCAAACATGCTCCGCTGTAGAGAACACTGCAGCTAGCAGAGAAACAGACCTGGAATAAATGTAAATTTCACACTGCATGATCATAGATTGCATCCATTCACACACAGAAAAAGTATTCCCATCAAAACCAAGGAAATTTTCATACATGGGATGTAAACACAGGCGTTACAGTGAAGTACTGACAGAAGAGTATTCACTTTCTCAGCCAATACTTGTCATTTTCATCAATCTTTTATTGAATCTCTGTTTTTGAATAACAACACTGATAAAAATCCGTTTTAATATCACTGCAGTAAAACAGCTAGAGGACGTCATTTGGTCCAAACCTGCACGACTGACCGCTGGCGTTTAAAACATCAAACGATCCTCCTGAGATTGCAAAGAGCAGCGTTCTGTGATGTCCAAGGCTGAGCAACGTAATAAGCACTTGTATTATCTGTACGCTGGAGCATTGATGGGTCAAAATGAATCATGCTGCTGTTGTTGTTGGCCGACTAGGCAATTTACAAAATGCAGAAATTACAAAATAACCCCTTTCTTCTACACAGGGTCATTTGTCTTTTGCTAAAGATGATGTTTCTGGTCTTTGACGACAGCAGCATCGATGCATCACTTCGCGCGCTGATTGACTGCAGCATGCGACAGAAACTGTAAACTCGTGTCTCGTTCTTATGTCTTCACAACTTGACAAGTGCGGCTCCACCCAGAGGCAGGCAAAATCCATCGCCAAAATCAATATGCTCCTCGGTAACCTCTCTTTTTACAGCAACCTCCACCTGCCACTTTTCCTCCCAATTTGACTGAAGCTCGACCCTGAAAAAATCCCTTCTCTTCAAATAAAGGGGGCTGCAGGACCCTTGTGAGTGAAAAGCAGAGGCACGAAGGAGAAGAACACGAGATGCTATTCGGGGAATGGTTCTCTTTCAGCGAGCCACAGAGAACGCCAGGCTGACAGAGTGAGAGGTGAGAAAATACTGTAGGATAGAAAGACAGACAACAGATAGAAGAGAAGGATAGAGGATAGGCAGGACGGACGAATATACAGCAAAAGCAGAGGGCATTTGGAGGACAGATTTATAGCACAGAAGGAGGAGAAAAAAAAAGAGATTTAACTGGAGGCAGCTAAGTGTAAAGAGGGAGAGAGTCTCTGTGCTGCTTTAACATTCCAGTCGGCGCTTAAGGAGAACCAGGGGGTGTTGCTGGGTGCTTCTTTTATCTGCCTACTCACCTTGCCTTCATCCTTTGGGCTGTCGCTCAAATGAACTACGGGTCCTGGGTGAGTTTTAGTTGATCTGTGATGAGAAGGAAAGATAAGAGAGAGAGGTGGAAAAGGCATCAGCTGTAATGCTGTATAACAACAGTGCGAGAGGACACCTCCGCCAGAGAGGAAGTAATGAGCGGAGGTTTTTTATTCCACCAATGAAAGACACAGCTGACTGGTGTGATCAAGTGTTTACTGTAAGCTGACACACTGCTTCACTGTGGGACTCTTATAGGAACTATATGGAGGAAAATCACCCACCGACTGCATTCACACTGCAGACCAGACCAAACCTTGCTTACAGTAGTTATACCGTTTCAAAGGTGTTTGTGGTATAGCTCTAATTTTCCCATCTTAACATTCACCCAACACAATAAACTGTTTCTGCTATGAAATTACAGATATATTGTTTTTGTATTATACTGTTATTATCATGGCTCTTTATTCACCTTTACTTCTTCAGCTCCGCTATAGATGTTCAGGGGAAGTATATCTGGGTAACCCGCACGAGATCCCTGCAGCTTTCCACAAAATCTGATTTATACATAACTGATGTTAAACATTTTTTTAGCGTCGGTCTGAATGTAAAAACAGAAATTAGGCGGCCCTATCATTTTGCATTTGGTAATTTCATCTGGGACAACTTGCCAAAACCAGCATCTTTAGGTTGACTTTCTAGAAACCCAACAGCTAAATAAAGTGGTGGATTACCCCATAAACCATTAGTAAGGTGGTCACAAGACATTGCAGTTTGATAGCTGGACATGTGTTATAACCGCAGTACAGACAAGGAGGGAAATCAAACAGAAGATGAGAACAATGACTGAGGCTGAATATCAACAGGACTGTCCTGAAGGAGCGTTGGTGTCCCTACAACAAGTAAAAGGTCCTTCTATGGGCTGGACATGTTATTTGCTATGACCTGTTCAGAAAAACATACTAAACGAAGGCTATCCACAACAAACAGCACCAGGTCCCTGATTTCTGCGTTTATTTTCAATCAGACTCAAAAATCCCATTTTATTGCCTCGACATGGTTGCAAAGTGGAAGGACCCAAAGAGTCGCAACGGCCACAATAATTGAAAATATGCCAGACTGACGTAAATTGAACCTATCTTTTAAACTCCCTATTGGTTTATAAAGCTATTAAATTGTGCCTACGAGTCACAGCAGTGAAGTGGTGCACTTACTGATCAGCATCCAATATACATGACATTTTCTCTGAAACGGGTCATTTTACACAAGCAGCGCTTTCATTTCATACTTCAAGTGCATTTTACTTGACTGTACTGAGGTATAATGAATATGTGGCTCTGATTCTATACCTTCTACAGTGCTGTATAGCTGCCTTTAGTTTGATAAATAAACTGGAAGATCCACATCACATGTCCGTACTGGAAAAACATTTTAATGACAATCACAAATGAAATGTCTGCATCCGTTGTTGGTTCTTCCAGTTCAGCGAGGAGCACACGATCACCTGCGGACGTCGCAGCAGCCACAATCAGGATATTTCAACGCTGTGGCTGAAATGTGAGCTGATCCGGGAGGCTGAGGTAAAGTGTGACTGACATGTTCAGATGGGCCCGTTTAGTTATGCCTGCTGCCGGAGAGCGATAAAAACATGAAACCACAGCAAGCTCTCGATACGTTTCTATTCCACAGTTTAAGTACTAATAAGCCAAGGTATCAACAATCCATCTACAATACACAATACCGGTCCAATCAGTGAAGCAGCGCGGCCGGTGAATGCCAAACCCAGCTGCACCAGCCGTCCAGAACAAACGGCACTGAGCTACAAAATGCTTTCAACATGAGTGCACTTTGGAAACCAAACCTTTTGTTAAATATCACCAAACCTACACACTTACACAAACAGAGACTGTTGTGAATAAGTTCTTTTAGAGTTGAATAGCATAAAAACAGGTTATTAAGCTGTTGAGAAGAAGTTCACAGCAGCTATTAAACTCCAGATAGAGCTGTGACTAATAGCGAACGCTTGCTGTTGGAAGCAGAAATCCTTCACACTGGGGACAAACATGTGAATTGGAAGTGAATTACTGACTGACTTTGTGACACGGTGGTAAAGTTTCCACGTCTCCTGACAAGGCCGCTCTTTGAAATGCACAGAAAGTAAATCAGAATGTTCAAGAAAAAGTGTATGAACGGATGAATGCTGGGTTTAATGACATATTCAGAAAAAATATGAGGCCGAATAGCTGAACGGTAAAAAGTCTTATATGTTCTGAAGATATGAACTGCTATAAAAAATTATGATATCAAACTTCAAACTGTATTATCGATGTAGGACTGCTTCACTACTTGATTAATGCTTTAGGGATATAATCACATCCTTTAAATGTGTACAGAACTTTTTAAACAATCAATTAGGATTTCTAATTAGCTGTGTCTACTTTTCTCGTCTGTACTGGAATCCTTCACACTCTGCAAAAACAACATTAAAATGAGAAATATTAACACCAGCTATTCTTTAACCCACAGCATCCAGGTGGAAGTAAACAGAATGAATAAAAGACAGAGAAGCAAATGCATAAATATACTGTCAGCACCAAGAAAACCAGAAGAAACCACGACGTTCTGTTTGTTGCAGTCATCCCGAGATCGACCACCGAGGCTGTTGGGATCACAAACACAAATGCAAAGACATCTCTGGCTCTAGCAGGACCAGCGGAGCCATGGCAACCCACCGCCGCCAGGAAAGGGTAAATAATCAACACGACAGATGAAAAGGAGAGAGGGGGGGGCAGGAAAGAGCGAGTCAGCTGCAGGGATGAGGAGGACGCCGTACGGGTGAACTGCACCATAACCATCCAGTGTCACGTACAGTCATATAAGATCACGTGCAACGGCTTTCTATCACACACAGCATCCAGAACTATTAATAATTTAATATACATGTCAAACAAAAACATACAACAACCAGTGCTGGAGCTGCACGGCAACAGATTACATTTTATTTTGGTAATTTCATTTTGCTTTCTCGTGGCCTTCATTTTAAATCCGTTTTAATATGTATGAGGAGCCCTGGGCTGTTTTAGGGGGATTTCAGTACCTCTACTCTTCACTGCTTATCTTGATCATTATAAGGGCTCACCATAAATACTGTAAACAGTCCAGGCTCTCCAGATCTTCCATCATTAGATTTGGTAAGGCTTTTTCCATTAGTCCTTACGGCAAGGAAAAGAATTACTAGACAAGTATGAAATTGTTTTTACATGTATCTCACCATAAATACTGGCAGTAGAGATATTTTTTCAGTACTGTGTAGGGGAGATTGTCTGGAATCTGGCAATATCAGAGTCATGAGGATACTGTATGTCTTGGGAAAAACATGTGCTGAGTGCCGGACAGAAGAAAAACGTCATGTACCGTGTGCACATACAGCAGCCTGCATCACCAGGACAGGAAAACCAGGCACATGTTTGCCTTTGACGTTTGTGTTATTGCAATAAAATCCATTATTTGGAGTGTATTTTCAGTATGAAGCCGGTTGTAGCGTCAGCCCTACGACATTTCATGTTGTTATTCTTGTTTTTGTTCTGCATATTTTGATGTTTATTGTGTTTTTGTTGATGCTTTTTGTAATTTAAGTGTTTTGTAAATGTATTTCTTTGGGTGAAGGAGGCAGATAACATCAGATTCTTTCTGTTCCCTTTCATTCAGGAATGTCTGTGTCATGTTTGATTGTTTTGTTTTAACTCAATGAATGAAATAAAAATTTAAATGACTGAAGACGATACAGGACAATATCTAACTGGGTTACTCAACACTTTATGCACAGAGAAAGAAACTAGCCTCCCTGGGAGCTCCACGGTTTGTTCTGATGTGTGGTACGTTGTGAAACCAGAGGGACTTGGTGACTTGTTCAGCCGAGACGCAGTCGTGTGAAAGCGGGTGCACAGGGAGTCTCAGATTGTTTCACCATGAACCTGTTGACAGTTCGCTGTGCGTATGGGAGCAATAGTTTGAACTCGTTCAACAACTCAGGAAATTCTTAGCAGAGCAACAAAAAGGAAAAGCGCGGTAGACGTGACATAAAGAAAAGAAGTGCATGTATGTTTCAGTGTTGCAGTGGCTACCAGACGTGGTGAAACATCTGTTCTGACCTGTTGGTTTTCAAAAACACGTGAGAGCTGCTGGACTAAACCATGATGTGTTCCAGCTGATTAACTTTTTGGTGATGTTAAATAGTACATTTCAATATCAGGATCAAATTTAAGATCAGGTTTCCAATAAGGCCAGTGAGCTGGAAAGCTTTTGTTTGTCTGGGTCCCTCTACATTTATTTATTATTAGCTCGTCTACCATTAATCCTTTTCCTAGATAAAAAATAATAAATAAAAAAAATGAAAACTTGGGAACAGCTTGGATGCAGTTATGAAATTCTCCAGCACATGAATTTACTTGATTTAAAAAAGTTTAAGTGTGCATTAATAATACAGGGTTAGGACCTGGTATCAGCAGCCACTCAGGAATAAATGAGTCAGATTGGATCAGCAGGAAAAATGGACTTGATCAGGACATCCCTAACAACAGCTTTTAATTCTACTTTTTGTAAATGCTGCCTTGAGTAACCTTTATTTTAACAACCAAGTGCTAAGTTTTGGTTGCCAAGTGTGGGGAGGTGGTCAGAGCGGGCGATGAACACACAGGACTGTGAAAATGGAGACTGTGTTTCATACATGGTGAGGTTCAGAGCACAAAAACACAATAGGACGACTGAGTTTTAGTAAAAAGTAGAAAAAAATGTAAGAACCGTGTCTCAGGTCAGTGTTGACTTTGTCGCATCTTAAACCAAGACAATGGTCTTTCCATAACTCGATTGTATGAAATTGTGTAGCGTGTAAGCATTTTCTTATTTTTACTTATGAAGGAACTTGTGGCACCAGGAGGTCGCTGGAATCTCATCTTTTATTTTCCAATCCTAATAGCAGATGCCAGTGTTGATTAGGCCTGACACGATGCCGGGCGTAAACATCATTCTGCTCATCAGAGGATCTATGAACTGCGGCTCAGTGTGCACTGGGCTGCTGTGTTTTCCCATTTCTTCTTGCATCTCATTTTTTACATCTCATTTTGGAGCGAATGTCCCGAAGATGAAATTGTGCATTAAATACGATGCAAACCCATTTGAATTTCAATGAGAGCCCGGCCCTCCTGCTCGGGAACAGTGGCCCCAGTTGAATTGTTGCTATAACAGATTCTTTGAGAACTCTTTGGTTTGTATTAAATTAATGCATCTCTGAATGACTCGTCACACAAACAAACAAACAAATAAACAAATGCTGCGAGGACACAAATGCACACACACGTGTAAAGGCACTAACACACCAACGTGTTTCACACTCTGCTGTTCGTATAGCGTGGATGATTTCTCCGTTGCTCACTAAATGTTCCACAGCAGCACAAACAGGAAGTCCCAGCTCATTCCTATTCATGTTGTGTAAAACAAAAAAACCTCCCTACAGACAAACAGTGAAACCCTCGAGTCGCTCTGTGTGTTGATGTGAGAAGATTCATCCTCTACTTGTTCAACTCGCCATGAACTTTACCTCAGAAAGATGCCAGTGATTAGAAAATCTATAACACATTACAGCATATCCTCAAACAGAACACAACAGGAAGTGCACAGAAATCTGTTGGCTGCTTCGTCAGAACCCTAAAATTACTTCTTACATTCTCAAA